CCCACGCCCCTCTGAGAGAGATTTGGTTAAAAATAACACAATGGTGCTCTAGGAGGAGATTCAGGTGATAAGGTGGGGGGGGGGTTACCTTGGTTGGTGATTGGCTAATGGTTACACAAGCCAAAACATCGTTATGACATCATAAAGTGGCCACAATCTGATCAGCTCATTTTCAGAAAGGTTTTTATATAAATGGATCAGGACAAAAAGAGAGAGAATCTTTTTTCTTTTTCAGAATCTCTTTACACAGAGGGGACACATGTTTATGCATAAAATACTTTTGCATAATAGGTGACCTTTAAGGTATTTATTTGCCTTTGCGTTGCTTCCTCAGTTCCTGTCGGAGGTTGATGCCTGGTGTAAAGTGTGCAGTGAGGGAGGGTTACCGTCCGAAATGCAGGAGCTGGAAATCGCCATCCATCGCCACCAGAGTCTGTACGAGCAGGTGTCCCAGGCTTACACCGAGGTAAACCTGCAACACAGCTGACAACACAACCTCAGCCCTATTCACACGGGCCATGTATAAGCAGGGGATCTAATGTCGTTTAGAAAAAAACACCCCACAGTTATATTTGCTGCAGCTACAAGCACAAACAAACGCATCTGAAGAAAATTGGTAAGAACAAGTTATAAGATCATGTTCTCTGTACTGTAAATACAAACATCTTTGATGACTTAAAAGCAGTGTTTGCTGGAGCTGCTCTTTGCTCTATTGGTTTGAGTAAGAAATAAAGCAGTGTCTGTGTTCTCTGCAAAGCATTGGTTGTGTGTGTATCACCAGTTTAATACAAACTCCCTAATGCAATGTAATGATCTACCTCCTGATCAAAGCTATAGCATGCATTAGACCTTGATTTTGAATTATCTTCAGAACTAACCAAAAATACTTTAAAGCTTGTTTTCATTTTTAAGAGTAAGATGTCTTAATGTTTACCAGTGTAAAAAAAAACTCTGCTAAAGTTCCTTCTCTATTAAAGCAGTTAAACAATGTACGACACATATTTCTTAAAATGTACATAACGATTGACAAACAGGATGTTACAGCCAGTCCTCAGCAACAAAAAAACCCCCTGGAAATTACATTATTGTTTGGCTTTTAATGATCTTCACTTAAAGGTGGGGTAGGTAAGTTTGAGAAACCGGCTCGAGATACACTTTTTGTTATATTCCATGGAATGCTCTTAACATCCCGATAGCAATGAATATCTTAAGTGCTTTGACAAAAAATCCATAAAAGATTTCACCTGTGGAAGCCGTAGTACTGTAAAAAGCACGACCAATCATTTTAGCCGGCCCGGCTAAAGTAACTGGATGGCCTACCTGTCTGTCAGCCTTCCATCTGTGCACAAACTTATCTCGTGCCCTCATTGGTCATGTGCGCGTTCGTGTGTGTTGGAGGAGGGGCTCTGTAAGGAAGTGGCAGATTTGTTCCGGTTGTGTATTTTCAAATTCTAGCGCACTCGAGCTGGTTTCTCCAAAATTACCTACCCCACCTTTAAGAAATAACAATGAAACTTTATTTGAACGTCGACTTCAAGAACAATGCAATCCAAAGTGATTTACACAGGACATAAAAGCATTAAGACATAAAAGAAACTGCTATACAAAAAGACACACAGATATTATGCAGAAAAGGAAACAGTGCTAAATGCTGATGTGGACGCAGTGGTTCCAGTTGTGGGTTTGCATGTATCATTGAGCAATTAGCAGTAAGAAGAGAAATGCTGATTCAGAAAGTGTATATGTATGTGAAGGAGGAGAGAGAAGATGCAAACCTGATTCCAGTAAAAATAAGTTTAACTTTTTGCAAATCTCTACCTTTTCCCAGTCTTAATCTACCTGTTCTATCTGTATGTCTATGTCTAATCTCCTTTCTAACCTACCTGGCTGTTTGCAGGTGAGTCAGGATGGTAAAGCCCTATTGGACGTCCTCCAGAGGCCTTTGAGTCCAGGCAACTCTGAATCGCTGACAGCCACTGCCAATTACTCCAAAGCGGTCAGTATCATTTATTTTGGGGCTTCTTCTGATACTGACAAAAGAGGGGCAGCTTTAAGTAGTTCATATTAAATTAAAATCACATTAAATGAAAGACTGTGTTACGTTTGTATGATTCCGCAGGTTCACTGCATCCTGGACGTGGTTCACGAGATTCTCCACCATCAGCGGCGTCTCGAGAATATTTGGCAGCATCGAAAGGTCCGACTGCACCAGAGACTGCAGCTGTGTGTGTTCCAGCAAGACGTCCAGCAGGTACACACACAAACACTCACACACAGCGCGCCGCACACAGCACAAGCCAGAGGAATAAAAACATGAGGAGTGTGTTAGTGGGAGAGAAGAGGGAATATCTTGTTGCTTTTGGATGTAAACGTTGGTTTCTCCAAAGTGACAGCTTTATAGGAACATCGAAAAACAATATTTATTCATACAATACAACTTAATATTGAACTTTTGAGTTCACTGTAAGGGGTTTGAAAGAGGTTAACTCAACAAGGAGGTTGGAGAATTTAGTGGAAGTGGCGCATGTAATCTTGTTTGTAAGCATTTGATCAAGTAAAAAGACGTGTGTGTCTTTGTGTGTCTGTGATAAACTTTGCTGAGCAGAACCGATGAGAATCACCACAACGCGTTCATTCATCTCTGCTGTCCTCTTGCCCCGGCCTAACCGTGTGTAATGTGAACATTCCGTAGATAAAATACTTGCTGGTAACACTGCTCATATTTCACAGATGCAGATGGGTTTTTCGCAGATGGGTTTTTGTTTTTTAAAGGTGTCAGCACAGATTCCTGGAGATTTTATAGATATTAGTTTGCTCAAAATGATTTATGAAGGGTAGTTATAACGAGCAAACTGGATGCCATAAGTGGGGGAGGAGGAAGTCTTGTTTATTACATTTAGTTCTTTAATGTGATTGTGGGTTTGACAGTAATGCAGTAGGAATTAGGTACAACCAAATAATACCACTGGCATTACTGCAACCTCTGGAATCTCAGTAAAGAGTCCACATGTGCGCTCTCTAGAGACTGTTTCCTCCGAAATTATGAACATAAAGTACAGTAACAAGGACACAGAGTGTATCTAATGCAAAACAGCTGAAACTAAGCCTATAAGCAATATCATCTGCAGAGATTCAGCCACTTATGTTTGAACACCATAGAACAAATGTACTAGGAAGTTAAGACATGTTTGTGTGTATCTTTGCCATTGCAATGATTGCAACTGGCTAACTTCTTTATTATACCAAAAAACTTGGCACATCGCAAACTCAATGAAGTGAGGTTTTGCAGTAACGACTACATTGAGCAATGGCTAAATGAGTATTATTTAACATTGTATTTTTGTATCCAAAGACTTGTTGATACAGTGTGGAAAAAGCACCTTGATATTGGCAGATGTTTGACCCCTTTGTTTGGCTAATTTTCTGTAGGCTAACCAGTCTAAAGCGTGGTTGACTTGCCATGCAGCAATGTAGCTAACTAGCTAGCTGTAAGATAGTAAGCAAGCTATCCTGCTAGTTCAACCCAGTCTCACGGCATTTCGTATTCACCAACACGATTTTTAATCTATTGATTTGTGTTCACAAACACGATTTTACCCTTTTTTTCGTGTAGCACAGCACGATTTTAAAAACAATGTATTTCTACTGGTAATGTGTTTCGTGCCGGCAGCACGTATTTTTCTCCAGTCGGGTCGTGGAAGACCGGAAGCTGTGTGGTTCATAAAAACATGTTCTTACTCAATATCAAGCCACAATTATTGCTTTTATTTTAAATCGTATGATTTCGGACTTTTGTTGCCGTCTGTGAGGAAAATAAATGGGGCTCAGAGCCTCAGAATACGGAAATCTGTATTTTTTAAATCTTTTTTTCCTTCTAATTTGTTATTCTTTTCAAAGTAACACACTGTTATTTAATTACCAATAACACACAATTATCCTTGCTTTTATTTCTTGGTTTAATTCCATAATCTCTGGCTTTTTTGGCGTCCGTCAGGAACTGAATTTCAAAATAAAAATAACCGGAAACAGACGTAGCCCTCTAGGAGTTTAGAATGGCCGAAGACACTACACTACCCATAATCCCCAGCTATCGTTTAGGACTACAGTCCCCGTGATTAATCTTCAAACTCTGGGATTGGATGTTCGAGTGGCAGTGCGCCAAGGTTACGCAGAGCGTCAAACAGCTGTTTGAAATGGAACGAAACCACGCCAGACTATCCAAAACTGGAATCGAACGCCCCCCCCAGAACTACACATGCTGGCATCAATAGATTAAAAATCGTGTTGGTGAACACGAAATGCCTTGAGACTGGGTTGGCTAGTTTGCTAATTCCACTATGCTCTAAGCTACACCCGAAAACGAGCCAAACTACAAGCTGGTGGCCAGTGCTGGGTCTAACAGTATCTCAGTCCAACTCCCTTGAGGGTCTCTAGGAAGAGAGAATTAGGGCATACGACGGTCTACTAAATCCAAAGATGAACGTGCACCATGCTACATTTATATGTGACCCAAGAGAGATTGTGAGAAAGTGTTACAGAGAGGTAAAAGACAAAGAAAGAAGAAAGAAAATGGTGCATGAAGCAGAGATCGTATCAGTAGGTTATAAATTCATTGAAAACAGAGTTTTGCCAACTGTACTGGTCATGCATCAGTTTCTATGAGACTCCAGGGAGAGACAAAGAGACACACACAGAGGGCGAGGGACGTACGTGGGAAGTGAAACAAGGAGCAAGTGAGAGAGTAAGCTCATAGCAATAGACTATAAATCACTGAGAACAGGGCTTCTCCAACCAGAGCTGTAATGCTACAGGATATATGTGACCCCAGAGAGGAAGAGGTAGAGATGCTGAAGTTAAGGCTGAAAGAGAACATATATGATGTGAAGTTTTATTTGGCAGATTTAGCCACATTCAAACAAAGATAGAAGGTAGGATAGGACTTTGTATGTGCTCTGAACTTTCTCTGAACTCTTTGTGGCTGCAGCTGCAATGACTACACTACACTGACGTCATGAATTACAACACGGTTCATCCCTAATCTCTGTTCCCAAAAAAGTGCTTTGAGATGTCAGTGGGAGAAAAGGTTCTCAGATATTACATACTTTGAACTTTATTACATGACAAAAGGGCCAATACAGCCACTGGTTTATTCTTTATTTACGCATTTTATTTTCTAAGATAATCATATCGTTTTTGTTTATTTTCTTATGTTACTTTAAAAATGATCTGGTAACCACATCACATTACATCTAAAATGTGGAGAGTTAAGGTAGCAAACAAAGGAAATAATCTAGAAAAGTACTTCAAAATTGTACATTAAATTACTTGAGTAAAAGCACTTGATGTAGAGATGTATTAATGTGGCCCTAAAAGGATTGTTTATTTGTCCTTTTTTAGGAGTAAATGTTAAGTGTTCTACCTGTTTGTATCCGTGAAATTGGTGTTTTTATGTTGGAGGACTCTTGGAAGAATGACCTTCAAACATCCTTATAAAAAATCAACTCAAACCAAGGACAAATGCTCTGTTTCGCAATATCCACAAAAGTTTAATATATAGTGTGTTTGTGCCTTGTGATTTGATGTTCTCTAAAAGTAATTTGTTTTTCCTTGGCCCAGGCAACATCCTTCCATTCCTGACAAAAAACTAAAGGCAAACTACCCAGCCCGTGTTTAGCAAATGAATATCAAAGCAAGGGATGGTGCCTGCCAGTCGTCTGGCAATCACATCAATAGAGACATTTGGTCTAGAATAGTCAAATGGTACAGAAATGCAACATCCTCTCCTTCTCAACTGCAGTGACCTCCATTTCCCACGGTGATCATGGAGGTTTCATCTCCTACATTCATAATTCATGAGGTCTGAGACCATGTTGTACTGCTGATCTGACTGTACACTGTTAGAGCAGAGGGTTCAGCAGGTTGCCTTCAATCCTGAGTGTGTGTTAGGAGATGATGTAAAGGTGATCTTTGTGTTCTCTCTCTTTTCAGGTGATGGACTGGATAGAAAACCACGGCGAAGCTTTCCTCAGCAAACACACTGGTGTTGGGAAATCCCTTCACAGAGCGCGAGCCCTGCAGAAAAGACACGACGACTTTGAAGACGTAGCTCAGGTAAGTCTGTTTGTTTACATTTGATCCCATCCAAGCATAATTTCTTCAAAGATAAAAGACTGAGTCACACAGGAAAAGGCCACAATGATTAATACTAGAAATCAACAGTTTTTCCTTTTCTGTGCTGCTTTTCTTTGTTTTTGTCATCACACTGCAAACAAAGGGGGATGAGTTGACACTAAACAGGCAACATTTGATTGTTTTACTTTAACACTAAAGCAGTTACACCTGCAGCTCATGTTTTCAGTACTGACGTTGAATTTCTAACGGCCCGTCCACACAGCGGCGTGCATTGACGCTTGCCGGCGGGCGTGTCTGACACTCGACCAACAACCAATCACATGAATCTCCCGCCCCTGACACACAAGCAGCGGTTTGATTGGCTAGAGCTTGTACTGGCATATGATTCGATTGGCTGACGCTTCTGCCGAGGCGTCAAAAGTTGAACATTGCTCAACTTTTGCAGCGAGCCACGCCAGCAACGGTCCACGTCGCTTCCCACGATGCAGTTCGGCTAAAAGTGACGTCACCCCATTCAAAGTGAATGGGCAGAAGCGTTGGAAGCTTCAACGCACGCCGCTGTGTGGACGGGCCGTAAGAGCACACTGTCTGTGAAAAGATGATTAACTTCTTGAGCTCAGGGTGTGTTCAATTCCATGTGTGAACCCTCATTTACAGTATCAACATTACACATAAAAGATCTACTCCTACATTGTACATTTTGAGGGTAGTTGTTTTCATCTATGTTTATTCACTTGCCTTTCAAACATCTGTTAGCAATCTTCCTTGATTAATCCCACATTTCCCAAAAAACACCATGCCTGGTGGCGGCAGGAAGCATGAAGACATTTCTCCACGTAACCATTTATGGTTACAAGTCTTTCCTGACTAATCTGCAGAAGATGTTATCCATTCCTGAATTTCATTACTAAAGTTTATCATGTATGAAACACTGGATTTGGAGCTAGAGTTTTGGTGATAAAGATGAAAACATATTGAAGCTCACATAAGAGATTTCATTAAATGTCAGAGGGAATGTGGCTCGGGTACAAAGTCAATGCTGGTATGAAAAGGATTTAAATAGTGTTATAGTAAAATAAAAACACAACATATGAAGCAAACACTAGTGACATTTTTCTGTTGAATATTGAATAGTGCATGGACATGATTATTGCAGAACCCTTTGATCTTCATCACTATATACCACAACTGCCAGTACAGCCTGCTTAAAGAAGCAAGAAGAGGTTATATATCGGCTCATATTCAATGGAAACCTTGAGGGCTTTGAAGTGGATTGGTTGCTGTAGGTGCGTAATGTTCTTCTTTATTGAAGTTGTCAGTTGTCTGGTTTGATTTGTTTTAAAGTCCTCAGATCGCAGACATACAATATGTGTGTGTTCATCTCAAAGCCTTTCTTTAGAGACTGAATGTTATCATCAAATCTTTACCATCTCTGCTGCTCCATAATAAGCCTGAACACATGCACACTGCAGATCACCATGGTGTCAAGTTATATTTTCTGCTCTTTTCGTTCCCCATCTGGTTCTCGTCATTTTTATTTTGTCTTTCTTGCCTGCTTGAGCTGACATCCCAACACCTTTCCCCACTTGCCTCAGCCGTTCAATCTATTTTATCCTTGAAGCTTTCTCAACAATTTGCACCACCCTGAGAGCTTTCTAGACTTGAAAAACCCCTGAATGTGGTTTATTATATCCTCAAATCAAACTAGCAGTGCACTCAGAAGACCTTCGCCAAAGCCAAATGCCCTTTTACTACCATCGCAATGTTTACAAAAGTAAAAACTCATTTGGGTTCTTCTTTTACCCATGCTACACCTTTCCATCAATGTCCATGAAAGTCAGATTTGTTTCGTAATCCTGTTGACAAACAGAACGAAAATGTAAACGTTTTGGGCGGATGTGATAACAGCAATCAGAAGCCATTGAAATTGTATAAAACATTCTGTACTTGAGGTGTTTCAGTGAAGTGATTATCCTATCAAATAATGAGTGTAAATCCTATAAAGAGTATGTAGCCGCGTAAACTGATGTTTACATTCTGGATTAGGATTAACCTTCATAACATGCTGGATCAGCATTATTTGGGTCAGACGCTCTGCCTCGGTTTCTTCCCATTTTTTCCTCAATTATCTTTTTTTTGCAGTGTTTTGCTGGTAACATTCCCTCCACTTAGCAATATACATAACATTAATACATGAGACGCCTTTAAGGAACATGCCAAAAGATGAATATGTAATCATGTTTACCCAAATTAGCTTTGACTTTCTCTTTTACATACAAACACCAAGACATGCTAGGACTTAATGAGTATGTGTAGTGTGTGTGTATATTAAACATGGTGAGTTTTTATGAAAATGTAATCCCCTTACCATCATTACAGCTAGTTTATTTTTAACTCTCCTCGTCTACATCAGATTAATGCTTCGCCATTAGATCCGACCAAACATCAAACAGAAAGACCCAAAACTCCTTTACTCTCAATAAAGTCTTCATTCTGCAGCGTCTTCTAACTGCCTTAAATCGTAGTTTCTCTAGGGAGGTTAACTCTTCGAATACCAACATTAAAAGGTTGATAGGGACGGTAGACTGTTATATGTTGTACTGTACATGAGAGGTCAATTAAACAAAAAAGGCTTCTTCTTCCAATGTTACATCTCCGTTTATTTATTATTTTATATGTATATATTTCTTTTAAAAATCATTTAATTACATATTTTATATTATTACTGTGCCGGTCATTTGTTCGGTTAATCTATTCAATGCACCTTTCAAGTAATTCATTTATTAATGTCTTAAAAAGTCAGTCTTGTTGGTCTTGTACATTATATCCAGGTGCCGGGGATGTTTCAGCATTCCTGTCACCCCCCTCATGTAATCCTCATCCTAAACCACAGCAGTCATGCATGAAGAGTAATAATCTCATGTAAATTATAATCTTTATCTCCTGTCTAATCCCTCGGAAATGTGAACCATCCAGACGTTAAGCTTTCTCCCAGACTCATATTCTTGAATAATTGGGATCATAATGCAATATATATTTCTAACTCCAGCACCCGCCCCCTGAACCGCCAGTCACACAAAGATATCTCACATGTAATATTTCCTGAAGTTACATTTTCCCTTGGTAATCTCTCACACCAAAATAGACCGAAACTAATCCAGTTTGTCCTCCTGATGAATGCTAAGAGCTTTAACACACAGACTGGATTCAGTCCATTTTTGGTGATAATAGAGGTACAGTAGAAACAGGAAACAACGCCATGTCGATTTACAGAAACTGGATTAACATACGTGATCTGACAGTGATTTCCTGAAGCAGTGTAATCCCTGTGCAGCTATGGTGTTTAGGTGTTTAAATTAGATCTGAAAGACCACTGGAGTGACACCATAAATAGCCCAAAATGGAGAAGTATTATTTTATGTTTTATGATAATAGTGAGAAAAGATTGAGAAAACTTCCAAAAATGTACAACTATTAGGAACAATAGTTCCTAACGGTTATCACATATAATGATTGAGAAGGTGACATTGATGATGATTCAGCTTGTAGTGACAATAAGGAAGATGATGATGAGAAATGTGAAAGTCATTACGTTATGTGATTATAGTAAGCTTCATTTTTGTTGCACATAGTACAATGAAATGAAATGTACGTCCAACCAGAGATTGCAAAGAGTAGATAAAGAGCATGAGGTTACAGTAACAAAGTTGTTGCATATGTGTAGCAAGTTACAGATACGTTTTTATAGATATGAAATAAATATTGAGATAAGGTGTACGTTTTGAAGCATATATGGAGAAAACCAAGTATCAAGAATTCTTGCCGGCTATACAATGTATTCGCACAGCTTTACTAGGTGGAAACACTTGAAAAAATTAAACGGATTATTACTCATTTGCAGAAACTGGGACTAGTGCATTAACCTGCATCTTGCACTACTGATGCAAATGCATGCATACAAATAAATAATTCCATGACCAAGTTTTAGAACTTAGCTAATACAGATATTAATCATGTTGGTGTTGCGTTTGTTGCTTATGATGATGTTGATGATGAAGGTCCTTCCTCCTCTTCCCCTCTCAGAACACGTACACTAATGCGGACAAGTTGCTGGAAGCGGCAGAGCAGCTAGCTCAGACCGGAGAGTGCGACCCTGAGGAAATCTACAAGGCCGCCCGGCACCTGGAAGTCCGAATCCAGGACTTTGTGCGCCGGGTGGAACACAGGAAGCTGCTGCTCGACATGTCCGTGTCCTTCCACACACACACCAAGGAGGTGAGACACACACAAACTAAAGAAAGAGACACATTCTCCGATATCCTGTTTTGGCCTAAGAGCTCTACCTGAATGAATTATTCATTGGTCATTATACACAGAGACTCTGATATGTGATAAGTGTGTAATTGCAGGTTTGAGTCCAAATAGGACAAACTGTTTCCTCTGCTACAATTACACTGTCATGTATTTTTCATTAACATAGTTAACATCTTTTTTTATATACAACTAAACAACACCCCACTTTTTCAACCCACCTTAAGATTTGGTAAACTCACCTAGAAGATCTGGAGGAAAAAAAGTGTATATATATTTATATGAATCATTTGGCCATGCCCACATGACATGTTTAACATTTGGCGTTTCCTTATCTGGGCATTGTGTAAATGGACAAAGTAATAGTGAAAGATATTGACATTATAAAAGTGATTTGTTTAGAACAGTCCGTTTCAAGTACAAGATGATAAATAGAAATAAGAAGTTCTATAATTCTACCTATATACTGTATACCGTGGTCTGCATTGTATGCATTGTATATGCTAACCTGTGTGTCGGTCTGATTGTCTGTGTGTCCAGCTGTGGTCGTGGATGGAGGAGCTTCAGAAGCAGCTGCTGGATGAGGTTTGCTGTGATTCTGTGGATTCGGTGCAGAGTCTGATCCAGCAGTTTCAGCAGCAGCAGACGGCCACACTGGAGGCAACGCTCAATGTGATTAAAGAGGGAGAGGAACTAATGCAGCAGCTCAGGTAAAAACACAATTCATACTTAAAACGTCATTAAACTGTTTATTTGATACACCCACTTGTTTAAGATTGAGTATAAGGTCCTCTAGTTTGTCATGTTTTTCTGTATTTCATTTACATAATCTTAAATAAAACTTGATATCAATCATTCGAAGTGAAATCTTTGAGTTTAATGGAATTGGCCTTTTTTATTTTAACCAAATAGGAAAACGTATTTAGATCATGTTTGAAAAACTCCACTGCCTATAATGTGGAAGGACTTGTTTAAGACCTATATGGTATAATGTATCCCTCTGTCTTTCTCTCCACAGAGACGCAGCCATGTCGACCAATAAGACGCCTCACTGCAGTTCCATCGCTCACATCCAGGGGGTGCTGCAGCAGCTGGACGAGGCTCAGGGTCAGATGGAGGAACTGTTCCACGAACGCAAAATCAAACTGGACATCTTCCTCCAGCTACGCATATTTGAGCAGTATACTATAGAGGTAAGACTTTGTGTGTGTGTGTGTGTGTGTGTGTGTGTGTGTGTGTGTGTGTGTGTGTGTGTGTGTGTGTGTGTGTGTGTGTGTGTGTGTGTGTGTGTGTGTGTGTGTGTGTGTGTGTGTGTGTGTGTGTGTGTGTGTGTGTGTTCAACATTAAAGTGCAACTACACTTACTATTCTGGCGGAAACACACTGTTGCTTTTCAAAGCACAACTCATTATGAACATCTGAGGAGTTCAACAGAGCTCTGCTTTAGGTCCCCTGAGTTTCCTTTTCTGAGGGCCCTGACAGACCAGGCCGACCTCAAAGAAGTAGCACTGACTAAAGCAGACTTTTATTGCTTCACATCTTCTTTTACGTAAGAAGTGCCCTGGCAAAAAAATAGTAATTATTAAGAGACTGTTCTTAGTTTATTCTCAGAACACAAACTGAATGTGTCTCTTAAAAAGAAAAGTTTTATTTCACATTGGCCTTTAATGTTCAGTCTTTGGTGGTTTTTGCATGTGGAAAAAGAGTTGAAAATGTGTGAAACCACTTATCTGCTAATATGAGCAACTAGTCAGGGAGCTTTTACTTCTCTCTTACTGCCTACCACTGCCTACATTGTGTAGGTTAACTTTTGTAGCACTTATCTGTGTGGGAGTGTTACATTGTGTAGGTAGGTTAACTGTTTTGTGTTGTAGCACTTATCTGTGTGGTAGTGTTACTTGGTATTGCATCGTCTATTGTGATAGTGTTGCAGAGCTCGGAGCTTCCCTCAGTTAACAGTTACCTTGTTAGGAAGCTTATTTTGTGCTACCTGTAGAGTTCCCTATAGAGCCATTATGGAGTTTGACCTGGAAGAATTTTGTGAGGCTCCTGACACAGAGCAGCTTTCACATTGCACCAAAGCGCAGCTCCTGTCAGTTGCAGAACATTATCCTATTGATGTCGGTTCAACCTCCCGTAAGAAGGATGATATAAGACTCCAGATAGTCTCTGTCCTCATTGAGCAAGGAGTGTTGCCGAGGGACTCTGATGAATATAGGAAACTGCATGGTAGGAAAACAGAGCAGGAAACCCTGCAAACTCAAGCTGAGCAATCGCTGCATCTACGTGAGCTTGAACTTCAGTTTACTTCAGCAGTCACTGATAGGAGCTAATTAGAGCCAATATTGATAGACACTAAAACAATAGTGGTACCCACTGGCTTCTGACTCTTGTTGTGTTGTCAACTATGTCTGTGTGTGTCTACACTTCTTCTGTTCCTGCAGGTCACAGCAGAGTTGGATGCCTGGAACGAGGATCTGTCTCGACAGCTGGGCGACGGCAGCCGATCGGGCGGCAGCAGCGCCAGCAGCACCGGGGGGGGCGGCGCCTCCTCTGGCGGCGCAGAGGAGATCGGCCTGGCAGAGCAGCGGCTCAAACGACACGCCGAGAGGAAGGCCGCCATGAACAATATGACCTACGAAGTGATGCAGCAGGGCCAAGACCTGCACCAGTACATCATGGAGGTCCAGGCTTCAGGTAAAACACACACACACACACACACACACACACACACACACACACACACACACACACACACACACACACACACACACACACACACACACACACACACACACACACACACCTTGCCATGTGAGAATTGAAATGGGAAAATAAAGAATGATAGAGACAGAAGATTACAAAAGGAAAAGCCAAACGAGCTCTGATGTGTGCTTTTAAATTAGCTCCAATAGATCATTCCCCATCATTCCATTTGTTGTTAAGCACTTGAGTTCACACATGGAATCATTATGTATCTTAAGTGTTTGGGAGATTTTGTGGTGCTTAACATACACTACAGTAAGGCAGTAATATTCTTTTATCGCTTTAAGGGAGGCATTTGCATTCACACTGCGCTTCAGATCCGGTTGCCCGTTGAGCCGGCTCACATCTGGATGTACAGCTGCACCCTGTATAATGAAGGAGAGGGAGAGCCTGATGCTTTGGCTGCATTATGAAATGTGATCCCAAAGGAAAGCATGTTGTGTGTAACAGGGAGAGAATTAGGTTAAAAAATCGTCACAGCCCAATCCTCTTACTATGTGTGATGTTTGTGAATATGTGGAGGTCAGCGCCTCAGTCACACTGTCCCCTGGAGTGTTAAATCTCTTTCAGCCACCACACACACACACACACACACACACGCACGCACGCACGCACACACACACACACACACACACACAGCACCACACACCACACACACACACACACACACACACACACACACACACACACACACATACA